CATCTAGGATCTGCAAGGAACTCAAACATGCCAAAAAGAAAAAAAAACACTGTAGTTCCAGCTACTTGGAAGGCTGAGGCGGAAGGATTGTTGGAGCCCAGCAGGTCGAGGCTGCGGTGGCTGCGAGTAGCCACTACACTCCAGTCTGAGCGACAGTGAAACTCCAAAAAAAGAAAAAGAAAGAAAAAAGCAGCCCTATTAAAAAGTGGGCAAGGCTGGGCGTGGTGGCTCAGCCTATAAGCCCAGCACTTAGGGAGGCTGAGGCAAGAAGACTGCCTGAGCACGGGGGTTTTGAGACCAGTCTGGGAAACTTGGTGAGACCTCATCTCTACAATAAATCAAAATAAGCCGGGAGGGATAGTGCACACCTGTAGTTCCAGCTACTTGTAAGGCTGAGGTGGAAGGATCACCTGAGCCCAGCAGGTTGAGGCTGTGGTGACCATGAGCATGCCACTGCACTCCTGCCTGGGCAACAGAGTGAAACTCCAACTCAAAACAAAACAAAGCAACACAAAAAAAGTGGGCAAAAGATATGAATAGACACTTCTCAAAAGAAGACACACGAGCAGCCAACAGTTACATGAAAAAATGCTCAGCCTCACTAATCATCAAAGAAATGCAAATTAAAATTACACTGAGGCCAGGCACGGTGGCTCAAGCCTGTAATCCCAGCACTTTGGGAGGCGGAGGTGAGGGGAATGCCTGAGCCCACAGGTTCGAGACCAGCCTGAGCAACTTGGTGAGACCTTATCTCTATAATAAATTAAAAAAAAAAAATTAGCCAGGAGTGGTAACACACACCTGTAGTTCCAGCTACATGGAAGACTGAGGTGGAAGGATCGCCTGAGCCCAACAGGTCGACATTGGGGTGGCCATGAGTGTGCCACTGCACTCCAGCCTGGGTGATGGAAAGAAACTCCATCTAAAATTTAAAAATTTAAAAAACTACACTGAGGATATCACCTAACTCCAATCAGAATGGCAATCATCAATAACCCAAGAAACAACAGATGCTGGAAAGGATATGGGGAAAAGGGAACACTTCTACACTGTCGGTGGGAGTGTAAACTATTACAACCTCTGGGGAAAACAGTGTGGTGATTCCTAAAAGATCTAAAAATCAACCTCCCATACAACTCAGCAGTCCCTCTTCCCTCTCAGCAGGAACTCAAATCATTCTACCAAAAAGATACCAGCACACGCATGTTTTTTGCAGCACTAGTCACAATAGCAAAAACATGGAACCAACCACACTGCCCATCAAAAGTAAACTGGATTTTTAAAACGTGGTACATATACAAATGGAATCTTATGCAGTCATAAAGAAGGACAAAATTATGAACTTCCCACCAACCTGAATGGATTTAGAGTCTGAAATACTCAGTGATCTATCACAGAAACAAAGCTGAGTACCACATGTTCTCACTCATAAGTGGACCCTGAACAATTATCATAATACTATAAGAAAGGGATTGGCAGTAGTGAGAAACTGCCGGGGGAGGGGGTGAGGGGAGCACACTTCATCAATAAGGGTACCTGATCTCAAACCAGGTGACCTGGGAACCAAAGTGAGGTCCAAACTTTACCTGGACAACGATCATTTGCATACCTAACCCTGAATTGTACCCTACATCTTTCAAATAAAAATTTTTAAAAATAGTTAACTTGTAAAAAAAAAAAATTACTTCAATTTTTTTGGTTTGTTTGTTTTTTTGTTTTGTTTTTAAGAGACAGGGTCTTGCTTTGCTGCCAGGCTGGATTGCAGTGGTGTTTTCATAACTCACTGCAGACTCAAACTCCTGGGCTAAAGTGATCCTCCCGCCTCAGTTCCCCAGTAGCTAGGACTATAGATGCGTGCCACCACTCCTGGCTAATTTTTACTTGTTTTTATTTGTAGAGATGAGGGTCTCACTATGTTACCAGGCTGGTCTAAAACTCCTGGGCTCAAGTAATCCTTCTGCCTTAGCCTCCCAAAACACTAGATTATAGGCATGAGCCACTACACTTGGTTAAGTTTTTTTGTTTCTTATTAAAAAAAAGGAGGAGGAAGAGGAGGAGATGGAGAAAGAGAAGGAGGAGGAGAAGGGGAAGAATTGGTGATTAAATCAAATGGAATTGTCATAAATGGTGACTTTGGCCTGAATACTGTTAATTCTTCTCTACACATACTTTACACAGATTTAAACACTTGATTTCCCAGCCTGGGCAACATCGCAAGACCTCATCTCTACCCAAAATTTTTTGAAAAAAGAAAAAATTAGCCAGTCACAGTGGTGCATACCTGTAACCCCATCTACTCAGGAGGCTGAGGTGGAAGAATTGCTAGAGCCCAAGAGTTTAAAGTTGCAGTGACTGTAATCGTGTCGGTGCACTCCAGCCTGGGTGACAGAATGAGGCCTCTACTAAAACAAAACAAAACAAACAAAAATAAGCCCACCAGATTCTGGCCTTAGTTCCATAAAGATTCTAAACATGTCAATATGAAAATCATGTAGGTTCTCATAAATGAAGGTGCACAAGGCAGGGAACAAGTAGTTCACAAAAGATGATATTAAAGGAATTAATGGCCATACTTGGTGACTCAACCTGTAATCCCAGCACTTTGGGAGGCCGAGGCGAGTGGATTGCCTGAGCCCCGGGTTCAAGACCAGCCTGGGCAACTTGGTGAGATCTCATCTCTACAATAAATCAAAAAATTAGCCGAGTGTGGTAGTGCACGCCTGTAGTTCTGGCTACTTGGAAGGCTGAGATGGAAGGATCCCCTGAGCACAGCAGGTTGACTCTGGGGTGGCGGTGAGCATACCACTGCACTCCAGCCTGGGCGACAGAGTTAGACTCCAACTCAAAAAAAAAGGAATGAACAAGTATGTATAAGTTCTAACTTACTAGTGACCAATGAAATGCAAATTAATGCAAGAAGATGTATTTTTTTAAACCTATTAGATTAGCCAAAAAAATGGGCTGGCTATCGAGGCAATGTGCTAGACCTGGTCACTCAGATGCGTTTTTCAGATGGCAAAGAAAATAGGCACAGACTTTAGAGTAAGCATTGTGGCTAAAATTATTCATGAACCATAAAAATGTTCCACTGTAATAATCCCACCACTGAAAAAAGCTCTTAAGCAAATAATTCAGAATGTGGAAAAAAGCTTCACGCATTAAAGATTTTTTTCACAGCATTGCTCTAAATAGCAAAATGTATTAAAAACCTAATAGAAAGTAGTGACTTCATAAATTATGATACTCTCTTACAATGCAAAATTATGTAACCATTAAAATGATAGCAATTAAAAGAAAATACTTCTAATATAACCTCAATTACATTAGCAATGTTCCATATATAAATTGAAAGAAATCCAAAGTAAGGGGGGCTCGGTGGTTCAGCCTGTAATCCCGCACCTTGGGAGGCTGAGGTGAGTGGATTGCCTGAGCCTGCGGGTTCGAGACCCACGTGGGCAACTTGGTGAGACCTCATCTCTACAATAAATCAAAAAAATTAGCCGGGCGTGGTAGCACGCGCCTGTAATTCCAGCTACTTGGAAGACTGAAGCGGAAGGATCGCTGGAGCCCAGCAGGTCAAGGCTGCAGTGGCTGGGAGCGGCCACTGCACTCCAGTCTGAGAGACAGAGTGAGACTCCAACTCAAAAAAAAAAGAAATCCAAAGTATATGAAGTGATAAATGAAAGCTCAATCCAGGGTAGCTATTGCTAAAAGTTTTGTGAGTCTGCAAACTTTTTGCTATGTGCAGAAAACTGTATATCTTGATACTTTTACTTATCATTGTGCATCAAACATTTTGCATGCCATGAATAATTCTCTAAAATATATATAACTTTTGCTACCAATAAGAAATTTACTTGTTTTAAAAAATCTAAATGCTGGTATTGTCCAGAAAATGTTAACAGGTTTATTTATAATTGTTATAAAGTTGAACCACTGTAACTTGTTCACTGAAACATTTTGACTTGCATTAATGCTTTATTTTTATCCCAGTATTTACACTAAACATTCACACACAAATGAAAATGGAAAAACTGCCTGATTTCTGTCCCCAATTTTTCCACTCATATATACTTAGGTACCTTTTGATTCCACTGGGGGAAAAATATATATCTAACGTTCAGAACTACCAATAATAAGAAGAGTTTTTTTGGGTTTTTTTAGAATGAAATGTTTATCATAGGCAGGCGCACAGCCTCTGCACCTTCAACCTGCCGGGCTCAGGCAATCCTTTTGCTTCTGCCTCCCAAAATGCTGAGATAACAGGCGTGAGTCACTACACCTGGCCATAGTGGATTATTATTATTTTTTTATTTTTTGAGTCAGAGTCTCACTCTGTCACCCAGACTGGAGTGCAGTGGCCGCTCC